CAAGGTCATTTGTGATGTCAGAAACACCAGCAATTTTGAGACTGTCTTTGGTTCACTGCAGTTTTAAGGAGGAAATACACAACAATGCTGTCGATATAATTTACACATGGTTTGTCTTGAAACATATTAAAAACACCATATAGACATAACATTAAAAGCTTCATTTTCACTGCAGGGGGACGTTAAATCACTCCTGCCTTTCCGTTTCTGTTGATTCAAACCTTTAAGAACATAAAGCATTAAAAAATATATAGTAATAAACATAACATTTTATAAAAGTGACAGTCGTAAACTTGACATTCTGTGCCTAAGTTTCCTCTGGTGTTTCTGTTAGTCTCTTATGTTGATTGTTTTTCTCTGTTTTCTTTAGCCTTGTGTTTCTTTCAGTTTTTTGTCAGTTTTACTTAATGTTTTAAGTTACTTGTACTGTTTCTGAGTTCCTTCGTTAATAAAATGAAGACTGCTGCATTTACATTCGTTCCTCCTCATTATTGCATCCCATTTGTGACCAATCTCAACTATGTATAATAAGTTTAATATTTTTTTTATTAAATTTCCTGCTGTTTCATTTTGTGCATATTTGGTAATGTTCCCGTGGAGCTGAAATGATGATGGAGAACAGCGCATGTGTGACGAATAACTGTTGTTTTATTTTTTTTGTTCATTTTATCCCCGATTTTTATGAGTGAGAAACGTGGTGGAATACTATGGAGTTAATATTGTGTCACAATTAAACAGAAAAATCCAGCATTTTGCAAGGAAACTTGATCTGCTTTGCAAAGGAAAACTCGACTCGGAAACAAACAGAAAGCAATGTACATGAGAAGGTAATACATGACATGAAGAAATTAGTCTTCAGAACTTGTGCTGGTCCTTCTATTTGTTCTTGTCTACATATGTAGTTTGTTAATGAAGCCACACTGCGTCTGGATCCAGCCTCATCGCTATTTCTACCGCACCACGCAAGTGCAATGTTACTTGAAGAATGTGTTAAAGGGACCATCAAAATAAAGCGTAACCAAAATATTTTGAAATATTACCATTTAAAAAATCTGTTTTCTATATGAATATATAGTAAAATGTAGCCTAATTTATAATTTTCAGCATTATAACTCCAGTCTTCAGTGTTTTACTGATTCTAAACTTTTGAAGGGTTGATGTCACTTGATTTCTAGGATGGTATTTCTCAGATTATTTTTTAGATCTACTTTACTAATCAAATCGTACGTTGAATAGATGCTCCTTTGTGTATGCAAATAGTTTGACGGCCGGCTTGATGTTTGTGTTGTCAGGCAGGTTCTTAGCAGATGGTCATCTTCTTCCCCCAGTGGGGGAATACAGTAATTTTCCACTGTAAACTGATGTTTTACATATGAAATGCGATCTTGCTATATAAGGACAATGCCATGAGAGTTCAGGGCTGTTGTCTGTATTCAGATTAGCCCATGAAACTGAGAGTATCCCGACTCTCAACTCACGTAAACATGTGTTGAGTAAAGGTCTTTGTTCTAGGAACGTTTGCATTGATTATCTTTCAATTGATTATAGTACATTTACCTGACTTAATAAATTGTTATATTTGATTACTCTAACAGACTATTTTCATTAAGAGTTAAAAGGAATAGTCAAACATTAACGTATATTTAATGATAAACAGATATCATTGATAAACCTTTTTCATTTTATGGAGTCAGATGAAACGAGTTAACATAAGATAAAATGTGTTGGATTTAATACAATAAAATCACTTTGCCATGGGAAAGACAGCATATGCATGAAACCTTCACCTCAAATCAAATTCCGCCATTGGATGGATTTGGTAGGTCTTACACAAGAAAGTAAGAATCGTTCATTTTATTATCTATGATTGATGAGGTTTTTCAAAAATTGTGTCTTCATTTACGTCAAATAATTTCTGTAAACACCAATTCTCTGCTAGATTGCAAAATCCTGTATATTTTCCTAAATATATCTATGTTAGATCAATTGTAAACAATTTCACGTTTAATTTTATTTGTTTTGATGTTTAATGAAAATGTCAACTGGACCTTCTGGTTAAACGTCCAACTTCTCACTGGTTACATATGAAGGATTGTTCAATCACTTAGTGCACTTAAAATGTATAGTATAGGAAAAAAAATACATAATTGCTGTGTCCCAATTCGCATACTATCCGTCCTCAATAGTCTGTCCTCAAAAAAAAAAAAAAAAAACACTGCAACCGGCCCAGAAATAGAAACTGAACTGCAGGTAGCCCTAATACAAAGTAAATTTAGTCACGCAACACTGATGTTGAACATTAAAACTTTGAAAACAAAGTATAATTTGCACAGTTTGACGTTATGATAAGCGATCGTTAGATTTAATCGGCGCGAATTACTGCAATGCTTTTTTCCCTTAGTTGGTCAGAACAAAAGTGGATGTTTCTTACTTATTTTCCTGTGAACATTATTATGTTGGTCATAGAACTGATATTTGTCTAATACTGGCTCCACCTGCGAGCGAAGGACATTTACCATAAGTCGTTCCAGGCCCTTGAAGACATGGAAGTTAATGCAACGGGTCTATAATCGTTGTCCTCCTGAGGACATGCCTTTTTTTGGGACTGGAAAGATATAGTAGACTTTTTCCAAATCTAAGGTACAACATGCTTATCAATAGAGAGTTGGAACAACTGATCCATACCGGAGACAATTCCTCTGCAAATATCTTTAAAAGAAAAGTGGACATATTATCTGGCCCCGTTGCTTTTTTCAAGTGCATTGATTTAAAAACCTTCGTTACCGCATGTGGATCTATAAAAATCCTGTCCTTCACATTACAGTTTACATTATCCAAATCATCACGTAGTCCCTATTTTTATCAGATTCAAAACACTGATCTGTCTTAAAATGGAAGTTGATGTAATTTTTTTCTAGAAACAAACTTTGTTGTATTATTTGTACTATCACTTTAAGCAAAACCAAACGAACAGTTCTCGAATATCAGCACGTTGGCAAATGTTAGTATTGCCTACAACAGTACTTTTTTTTTCTTTCTTTTTTTGCTCTGGATCTTTTAGGAATAATTTTCATTGGTGAAACAGTACAGCCATCGCTTGTATCCGGGCGGGCAGCATAAATGTTTAATTACTAAATGAATCTGCGTTTTTGAACAGCTATGAATGCTTGAGCTTTTGACATCTAAGAGGTCATCATATTATGAGAATATCCTGCAAGTTTCAGAACTGAAAACGTCCTTGTTAGTCCAATAAAAGCTTTTATTGACACCAGCCCCGCAAATGACTCGTTTTTAAAAGTGGGAAACTATTACGTCAACGGGGTTAAAACACCACCCCCGCAGAAGAAGATCAACATACTTCAACACGGCCGGTTTAGCCCCGCCCACCGATTCGCGCGCGCATAGCTAAAGCCTACCTTGTGATGACAAACCGGATCGAGCTACCGAGGACTACAAAATATTGTGCAGTGCCTGGTTGTGGAAGTAGACAGTCGCTGCATGAGCTTCCTCTGGATTCCAATAGGACTGCAAAACTTTATTTTTAATGCCGTTCCAGCTGATGAGGTAAAACCGTCTGTTCGCTTCATTCATTGAGGAGGATTGTAAACAAGACTGGATTTGCGGACGGTGCTGTGCCGTCTGGATCTGACAGGAATTGTGCAACACACGGACTCTGGGTCGAACATTTATGGGCAAATTATTCCGGTTCGCCATTTTACAACATTGGAGTTTTCAAAACTTCCCACGTACACCGACGAGGTGAGTTCAAACTCATTATAATGCAAAACTGTTATCCACTCACAGCAGTGGGCGTTTACTTCCAGGTCTTTAGTGCAGACGCCAATTATAAATCGAGTGTTTCTGAGCTGGGCTGAAAACTAGGGTAGAAAATAGCTTATTACTTACTCATTTTGATGTTTTTGAATGCAAAAACCAAGCGAACGTCATAATTTCATCTCAGACAACAATATAATAAAATTTAAAAAGCCAGTTCATGACCCCTTTAACATTAAATAAATTTGTATGTATCTAAATAGAAACAGTTGCATATCTCTTTCACGGCTGGTTAGGACAAAAAGTCAGATTAATATGGAAAAGAGACCATTAAACCTTTTAGCACTTCAGTAGCATATACATGTATTTTGTTGTTTTGTTCATTCATCATTTTATTACATTAACATTTAATCTGACTGACTTCAAGCTAAGTAGCTTAAATAATAGGCTGGTTGAGAGGCTGATCCCCTTTCAAAAAGTAAAGAAAAAGGGGTAGTCAGTGGACAGACACCGAGTGAAAGATATTTTTATTATATGTTATGTTTTTTCCTTAATCCATTTCAGTTTTTTTTAATGGAAATGAAGTACCACGTTTTAATGCAAGGTAAGGCAAATTTATTTTTATAGAACATTTCATACACAATGATAATCCAAAGTGATTGACATAGAAATGTCACAGAGAAACCAGAGGAAACTTAGGCACAGAACGTCTAGGATACAACTGTAGCTTTTATAAAATGTTATATTTATTACTATATGTGTTTTTAATGCTATATGTTGACATTATACAATGATTTCTGGTTCTTAAAAGTTTGAATCAACAGAAATGGTAAGGCTGGAGTGATTTAAAGAAAATGAAGCTTTTAATGTTATGTCTATATGGTGTTTTTAATATGCTTTAAGACACACCATGTGTAAATTATATCGACAGCATTGTGGTGTATTTTCTGATTAAAACTGCAGTGAACCAAAGACAGTCTCAAAAACATGGTATGAAATCGCTATATTATATTGATGTATATTATATTGATGAATATCATTTCATATTGATATTCATCAATATGAATATGAGTTGATGACTGTTGATTTCAAAGGAATTTTCTGTTCTCACAAGGACCTGTAAATGAAAATAGTTTTGCTCATTACGCATCACAATGATTTTATAATCATTACCATTTGTGCAGCTTATTTCATGTGTTATTTTACAGTCGAGAGAACAGACTCACGTTTATTATCGTTCCCCTTCTGGATCACCCGTTCAGGAGTTTGAGTCCATCGCAGTTTCACATCTGTGAGTCCTCTATCAGCAAGAGCAGATCCCAACTGAAAATAACATTCATAATAAAATGATTAGATCAGAATGTGAAACTCAAACATTTCTCCCCGAAAAGCACAGTATGTCAATGTGCAAACTTTCAATCGAAGTAGATTGGCCTCTCTAGCGAGATTCCTATTGGTCAGTCATGACCTAGGTCTCCGTTCCCTCCCTCAGGGAACGAGGGTTACCATATGTAAACAAGATGTTTTCCCATAGCACTGTCAGCGCTGCACTGAGAGTCAATATATGGAAAGATTACATGAATATTAAAGGTTCTTATTGGAATAATCAATGCCAATAAATAAACATTTTATGTTTACTATAAAATGCAGCAAAAATTAAATGACTTGAGAACAATTTTGCCTGATCTACAGTATGCTTCTCACAGTAATCATAAAGGTTGAGTTGGTTTCTTTCTCTCACCTGTTTCAGAACATTTTCTCTCATTGAAGGGTCAGTCAGATCATTGATGGAGTTAAACTGCATTTTTACAAATGACCTTTTTAAAGCGGGACCTAAACAAACACAGTCATACATGTAAATACATAAAACTTTGAATTCAATTGACAATGAAATATTATAAATATTGGAACCTACATATTGGCATTTATTAAAGCATTTCCCTGTTCCTCACTGTGTCTTGTTGACAAAAATTTATGACCACGTGAAGACATTTTTATTATCTGATATTATAAACCGAGTGTGTACCTTCTCCATAGACCTTCACCTCACAGAGAGTGAGTGTCTTCATGTCTCCAGGAACGATCAGATTCACATAACGTCCCTCCATCCCACCACATGAGTAGTTGTAGGACTCGCCTGCTGGAATAGCAGGAATAACAGCACATCTACAGACAGAGAGACAAACCGATCAAGCAGATCAAGAAACTGTCAATTATTCAAATCTATATTTGTATTCAAACTCTCATGTTCTTTCAACCTCAAGAGTCTCACATGGGATTGTTGTTGCCGTTGTTCTCCAAAGAGTTCCCGATGCGAATCTCCGCTCCGTTTATTCGTTCTGCACAGCAGTCTCGTCTGTTCGTGACGACCACATTACTAACTCTGTAAATGTAACGCAGATCCAGCCTCCACCACGGGTTTGTCTGATTAAGGGTTGAGGAGCATCCCGTGTACAACTGCTGGAGACCTCGATCAACAGCCTTTTCAGCAAACCCGTCCCCAGATGTTGATGACTGTGTAGCGGCTCCATCTACTGCCAGATTTTCTAAAAAACAATTATGAAAACAATGAATTTACATTGAGCCACTTCTAAATGTGGTTTTAAATCAGATACATACGACATCCGACCTCCATCTAAACATGCATATCAGATTCCCCTTTGAATTTCAACAAGCTACCACAAGGTGAGGACAACACTTTTATTCACAAAGATGGATTTTTAATGTGGTATTATGAGGCACATTTCGTGCACAGCTTTTAATAGAGGTGGAAACTTTATATGCATCTTTGTAAAGGAAATAAACAAATAAACTTTTGGGGGCCAGGGCGGATCCGACGCTTCTGGGGGCCATGGCAGTGCCAGCTAGTAAGAGGCAGACATCTTGTCCGCAGACACGGGTTGAAGCTGCCATCTTACCCAGAGACACATGAGTAGTGTCAGGCTTCAGACTGATCTCATGAAATTGCGTATGTATGACACGCGAATTCATATTTCCATTTTTGGCGTGTAACCCCTCCACCCGGGTCCTACTAGACCCGCTCCGAGCGAGCCTCTAACCCGGGTCTCCGGCATGAGAGTCGGGCGCTCTAACAAGGAGGCTAAAGACTGCAGCCTCTAGCGTCTGTTGCTAGAGCGCCTATTGAGATTGGGGAGTGAGGTTTACTCGCATAGCAACTACTACCTGGCCTCCGTTACACTCACCCCCCTAAACCTCACTCTCACCCGGGTCACGGCACCAATGTAACCCCTCCACCCGGGTCCCACTCGACCCCGCTTTGAGCGGGCCTTGAACCCGGGTCTCCGGCATGAGAGTCGGGCGCTCTAACAAGGAGGCTAAAGACTGCAGCCTCTAGCGTCTGTCAACACGCATAATCGATTTCAGCGTGTTTACGAATGCCGTTGACTTAACGTTACATTAACCCCGTCCCTAAACCTACCCGTCACTGGGGTTAATAGCATTTATGAGTCTTCCCCTACCATCCTAGGAAAAAGAATATCGCTCCCCAGACGTAGATCTACATTTTGCTTTGTTTTGCTCGGACATTTGACAGTGTGTACTAACAAGTGGAATCACTCGGAAATTAATGGCGTGTGCATACACGTAGATAGCTCAAAATGTGTATAGACAACACGCCACTTGACTTGAAAGTGGCGTGTATGTTTACGCAAAAGTCATGACGTCATGTCGCAGGCTTGGCAGGACTGATGTGAATGTGAGCTTGCGGGATTACTCATCCTCAAAGCCCAGAGTAAATGATGAACCGCTCAATAAAAGGGAAAAGCAAATATATTGCACTAGAGTGTACTGAGGGGTATCGTCAGGCATGAGGAAATAAAGAAACTTTCACTTTTTTTTTCAAACTATGTGATTAATTTTAATAAGTCAGAGGCAAGTCTGCCTGGGAAGTGGGCAGACTCAGACCCATGTTCCTCTTCAGGTAGTCACCTTTGCCTATTTAGGCGTAAAGGATATAGCAATCTACTGAAGGAAGTACATTCATTTTTTATCAAGTTCACTCTTCCTTTCCAAGAAATTAGATGAATGGGCCAGGATTCTGCTAAAATGCATTACACTTCAAACCAAAGCTACTCCCAATTGATATGGTATAAATTATTGAACATAATGCTGTAAGACATTGAATTACCTGCCAAATACCCGTAGATTTCAACCTCACAAAGTGTAAGAATCTTCTGATCTCCAGGAATATGAACAATCACATAACGTCCGTCCATCCCATCACAGGAGTAGTTGTAGGACTCGCCTGCTGGAATATCAGGAATAACAGCACATCTACAGACAGATGGAGATAAAGATAATATAATCTTCACATTCACATTAATCCTTCTCATTTGTACTCAAGCTCTCATGTACTTTCAACCTCAAGAGTCTCACATGGGATTGTTGCTGCCGTTGTTCTCCAAAGAGTTCCCGATGCGAATCTCCGCTCCGTTTATTCGTTCTGCGCAGCAATCTCGTCTGTTAGTAATGACCACTTTACTAACTCGGTACATATCATGCAGATCCAGCCTCCACCACGGGTTAGTCTGATTAAGGGTTGAGGAGCATGCCGTATTCAACAGACCTCGATTACTGTCAATGGCCTTTCCAGCAAACCAATTCCCAGATGTTGACGACTGTGTAGCGGCTCCTCTTACTGCCCGATTTCCTAAAAAATTAATAAAAACCTGTCTTGACTTATCTTTATTTTTGACTTCAACTTTCACCCACGCTCTGTCTTAGAGTGAGCTAAGGTGAAAATAAAAACCTTTCCCTTTCTACAGAGCTTATCAAAACCACTACAAATATACCTAGCTAGCCTATACAGTCTATTCAATCAATACATAGTAAAGTACATAGGCGTCGATTTTCATTGCGAGTCATTTTTTTTTTTAACATTTAGGGCACGGATGTACCTAATTGAAATAAAACATCCCCATTTAACTAGCAGAACATTCATTTAGTTCTCTATTAAATAAGAGATCTAGCGCTAATGTGTTGTTTTTGAAGTCGTTGCCGCTGCTATCAGTGTCATGGATACAGTGTCCTCTTGTGGCTCGCACAGTCTTCACTCGGACGCGCCCTTGAACCTATCGCCGTTGTGGAGACTTTCTATTGTCTTTTCCTTGTTTTCCATTGTCTTTTGACAAGTTTTCCTTGCCTTGTGTGGACTTTAGTTATTTCCTGTTCTGTGCCATGTTTTGTCGTCCTTTGTAGTTTTACTTGTTGACGAGTCTCTCCAGTGTATCTAATTAGCCCCGCCCCCTTGTTATCTTGTTTAGCTTGTTTGTCTGTATTTAAACCTCCGTGCTTCAGTTGTTGGTTGTCGGTCGTTGTTGCCTGTAGCTTTGTTCTGAGTTCCTGTTCTGAGTTTCTTTGTTTACCCTGGATTACCTGTTCATTTAATTAAAGTGCTAGCGTTTGGATTCACTCTCCGCTTTATTCCTGGCCCCGATGTTACAGTTACTGAAAAATAACATTGTTACCTAACACCGTCCATTTAAATGCCGTTATTCCAAACTCGGGTTATGTCTTGGCTGACCAATCAGGTTCGAGAATTTCAGAGAGCTGTGGAATAAAAATGATTTATTACTTTCGATGTTGAAAAGTGCTATACAAACATTACCTGCCAAATCCCCATAGACTCCAACTTCAGCAAGACTAAGAATCCTCTGGTTTCCAGGAATATGAACAACCATGTAACGTCCCACCATCCCGCCGCATGAGAAAGTGGCCGTAGCGCTGGCCGCAATACTGGAAATTACAGCACATCTAGAGAGATAATCTGTTATCAGTTTCTGTTCATCTACAGCCACATTCATCAACACAATCAAAGGAAGACTCACATGGTGTTGCTGTAAATGTCAGGGAAGTTCCCGACGCGAATCACTGCTCCGTTTATCCTCGAAGGATTGGTGTTTCTGTTAGTAATGGTCACTCTGTTCACGATGTATACCTTCAGTAGATCCACTCTCCACCACGGGTTGGTCTCTGGGTTAGTGTGAGACCAGGTGCCGACCAAACCATCAAGCGCATGTTCAGCGTTAAAGCCTCCATAAATTGACGACTGAGTAGGTTCACCCCAAAGTGCTGCATTCTCTGGAAAAGTTTTCAAAGACAAAGGCAACATTTGTCAAACAGAAAAAAGAAAAACAAAGGTAAAAAAAAAGAATGGTTCTTACCTTCTTGTCCATTTGCTCTTTCCACAACCAATACAAACCCTGTGGAATCAACAGACTGATCTCATGAAATGGCGGATGTATGACATGCCAATTCGTGTTTGCATTTTTGGTGTGCTATCAACATGCATAATCGTTTTTTAGCGTGTTTATGAACGCCGTTGACTTAACGTTACTTTACTGTATAAATATATGAGCTACCCCAACCCCGTCCCTAAACCCACCCGTCACTGGTATTAATAGCATTTATGAGTCTTCCCCTACCATCCTAGGAAAAGAAAATATCCCCAGATGTAGATCTACATTTTGCTTCGTTTCGCTCAAACATTTAATGGCGTGTACATACACGCGGAATCACTCGGACATTAATGGCGTAGATATACACGCGGATAGCTCAAAATGTGTATAGATAACACGCCACTTGACTTGAAAGTGGCGTGTATGTTTACGCAAAAGTCATGATGTCATGTTCACACATCACATTCTGAAATTTATTTCTATTAAATTTTTTATTGAAATTACATTTTTGAATGATGTGTGATGTTTTATGTACCATATGTGTGTATGAGGACTCGTACAAACAAAATCTACTTTCGGGTACAAATAAAGTAACTTGAACTTGAGATTTGTAGTTAATTTACTTTGATATTTTCACTAACACAAAATGAGAAGAGATTGAACTACTTCTCGTTACTAGCTGCTCACGGCTTAGGAGTATTACCGCCACCTACTGTATGACGTGCTGACATAGCCGGAAGCGCAAAACTTTCTGTTTGTTTACAAGCAATGTCAGCAAGCAGTTCTCGCGCATACGTTGTGGAAATCTCTTGAACTCTTATCTCAGGCCCACAAGGAAGAAAAGGAATAGTTGAATAAAGTCGTTTTTTGTATGTTTTTTTTTCCCGCCAAAAAGTATTCGCGTCGCTTGATGAACTTTTATACTTGAGCCAATGGAATATTTAAACATTTTCTTCAATGACTTTCTGGGCCGTCCACTTTCAATCCCTTAGGGAGCCTATGGAGGAGTGATCCAGCTCTCAAATTTAATCAAAAATAGCTTCATTTGTGTTTCGATGATGAACGAACGGGGTGGCATTCCTTTCTCGCAGACTGGAGTTAAGGAGACACTGATCTCTTTGAGGCTGTGGACCCAGAGTATTCATTATCCAAAAGATTCAATGTATGAAACAACTGATCTAGAATATTTGTTTGATGCCAATGCCAAAACTTTACAATATGCTATGAATCCAAAGTAAAGACTAAACTACAAATCCACATCCTAGTAAAATAGCAGATCATGAATGTTGTACTTTACCCAGTAAGATCCACAGGCACTTGAAGAGCTTCTTCATGGTTGATCAAAGGCGTTGGTCTTTCTTTTAGGGATGGAGAGTGTTAGTTTTATGTTTTATGGAGGACAACCCATTTAAATTTGCATCTCAAGAACATCTTGTCTCTCCTCCCTTCCATCTCCATTATTTTGAATACACGACTGGTGATCATCATTATCATTGTGTTCAGCACAGATCTTCAGGGTGTTTTCTGCTGTGTAAAAATGCCTTTAAGTTTACACAAAACAAATAAGCTTCAAATAAGCCATCTGGACCTTAATCCTGGCTTGTCCGCCGCTGAAAGATGATCATGTAACTTCTATTGCTGCATTAAAACAAATGATGGACTGAATGTGCACAAAAAAACCAGCAGTGTTATTTATGTGATGCGTTTTAAATATGTTTTTCACAGAGATGCCATTTTTAGATCCATTTTGGTTTACCAAATAACCTTTCAGTGATCAGTTCTTAAATCAGCACTTTTTTTTTTAGAATGAAGAACATCTTAATAATCTATTAGGAAGAGTTCAGACGATATCTCCCTCGCCACCGATAGGCCCCTGGAGCTGCTAGGCGTGAGCGGCCCCAGCTGGCTAGCTCCTTATAGCGAGCGCAACAGAAGGAGAGATTCTCAACCGAAGTCTTCTAAGCAGCAGGCCGATCTGAGGACCGTCCTGTTAGCGAAAAAGGCTTCAGCAAAGAAGAGGTCCTGATGTCTACGGGGTCAGTCTTCTGAGGGCAGCCCCCTCCGGGTTGGGCAGTGTTCACCTCATCCTGCGGTGCCTGTCCCGTCCTGGTGCCCTCAGGATACCGTCCTGCCAACTCTGTCACCCTCTGGGTTTCAGGGCGCAGCAGTCTCCAGCGAATTCCAGACCCAACGTCTCTGTTACGACGTGGCGTCAGGTTTGCACCCTCTGAGGAGGGTCAAAAGTCAGTCAGTTCTAACATCTCCTGCCGCTTCAGGCCACCCAAGTGACGACTGTTTTTACACCAGAGGCCAGCCTCGAGAGGCTGGTTCCATGAATATTTATCGTAATGGAAGCTTCTGCAAAATGCATCTCAGTGGGTCCTGCATATAGTCGAGAAAGAGTACAGAATCCATTTCGGTTCTCATCCACCACGTTTCAACGGGGGTTACTCACAGTGGTACACCCAGAGCAGGCTCCAGTGATGGAGCAAGAAGTGAAAACTCTTTTAGCGAAGGAAGCTATAGAGGAGGTTTCCTGAATCGCTCAGTCATGAAGTTGAAATTCAAGATGCTGACATTGAAACAGATAGTGACCCAAATCAGATCCGAGGACTGGTTTGTCACAATAGATCTCAAAGATGCATACTTAGTTTAGTTTGCAACATCAGTGGGATCTAGTTAATTGCTAGCCTAGAAATCAGCAAAAATTATTTTGCAGCAAAGTGTGGTCTAGCAACTCTCCATAGACGTTTTAGCTGGAAAACCCCAACTCTGGCCGGACCAATCACATCGTGTATAGAGTCGGAGGCCAGCTGGTAGCTGCTGTGCGGGTAAACCTCACTCCCCGATCTCAATAGGTGCTCTAGCGACAGATGCTAGAAGCTACATTCTTTAGCCTCCTTGTTAGAGCGCCCAACTCTCATGCCGGAAACCCGGGTTCGAGGCCCGCTCGGAGTGGGTCTAGTTAGACCCGGGTGTGAGGGGTTACATGGAGTCGGCGGGCGGACTTAAAATATTGATGACAGTGTTGAGATGGTCAGAGCAAGCTTGGACATATTCGGTTTTAAGTCGTTCATCCTCGGATGCGGCCGGCGCCGCTCGCACTGTTACAAAAAAGCTGTGGCGAAACGATCAACTTGTCATATTTGCCACGCTCGTGCTGTGGCGTCGAGTATAAAGGCTTTACTCCGTGTCAGCGCGCGCTCTGATCGGTAAGGTGCACGGACCTCTCCCGAATCATCTCCGAAGCACCACTACTCCGCCTCCGTTTCCCTCGTAAGCTGATATTAGCATTTAAACATTCTCTATGATATTATTTTTTTAATGACACACTGTCTCTTTCTCTCTTAAGCCCGGAACACACCAAGCCGACGGTCGGCCGTCTGGCAGATTTTGTGCGTCGGCCGACTAAGTTTCCTCGGTGTGATTCGCACGGTTGGCTAAAAATAGTCCTCGCCGGCTTTATTTCGCCCGATTCGACATGTTGAATCGGCGTCGGGCCGTCGGGGAGAGAGAGAACTCTGATTGGCTGTTCAGCTTAGTGAAAGAGTCAGTGCACAAGAATAAAAGCGAAACAGCAAGCAAAGAAGTCAAAACGGCTGTTCTTATGTTACGTCTTCTTACCAAGGAGTGTTCCTTGGCGAATATTTCAATATTAACATGAGTGGCGTGGAATAAAGAAAGTGTTTAGCAGGATGATATTCCAAAAGGTAAGCACACGCTGCTTTGTTTACGTTATGTGTATCTGCAGCCGCAGCGTCGGTTTTCCTTTTTGAATGACGAATATAGACTAATATATCTGCAGAAATAGACAGTTGGCTCATTATACGCAGGCGCAGAATGCACATTATAGCTGATGGTCGCCTGTAGTTCTCTCGGTGTGTTCAAATGCAGCTTTTTACCTCGACGAGAGGCGACAACACAGTTGGCTTTCCTCAGCGCTAGTTCGTTGGCGTCTTCTTGGTGTGTTCCTGGCTTTATACACACGCACATACTGTCTCTTTCTCTCTCACACATATGTTGGCTAGTTATAAACTCTTTAGACTTTTAATGATTAATGTTTTTAAAGTTTGTGGGTTGTGTAAAAAACTAAAAAATCCCTTTTTGGGGATGGATTCCGGGAAATCTCCCTTATTTTCAATGTTCAATGTTGACAGCTGGACTGGATACGTTAAAAGATTAATATATCAACTTGGTCCGCTGAGTACGTCACCTTCTTTGTTGCTCTGATTGGCTGTAGCGCTATCCAATTGCATGCAGAGAGAATTTGAAAGACAACCGTTTATCCCGCCCCTCGGATTGAGCCCTGTCAATGAAGAGTCTCCAGACCTAACATCTTGATGTAGGTCTGGCATGCCAGGCTAGTTAATTGCACCGTTTCAATACTTTTCACATTCATTTTTTTATTATTATTATTCCCTTTGATATTGTTTTTAATTTATCAAACACCATCTGAATGATAATGAATCACTAATTATTGACTATGTTAGTGAAACTATAGACACACTAATAATCTGCAACAAACTGACGTTTCTGTGGAATCACTGCCTGACAACACAAACATCAAGTCTATTTACATACACAAAGGAGCATCTATTCAACATACGATTTGATTAGTAAAGTACATCTAAAAAATAAAAATACTATCCTAGAGATCAAGTGACATCAACCCTTCACACGTTTGGAATCAGTAAAACACTGAAGACTACTAGAGTTATAATGCTGAAAATACAGCTTTCATATCAGGAATAAATTAGGCTATATTTTACAATATAGAAAAAAGATATTTTAATATCTTTATATTTCGGTTTCACTTTATTTTGATGGTCCCCAACATTCTGTTGACTGCAAGTAACATTGCACTTGCATGTCTGCTCTGATTAGAGTATTACTAGAGTTTTTAATATTCTACAATATTATTGGTCTGTCTTAAGGTGGACGTTGATGCAATTTTCTTCTAGAAACAAGCTTTGTTGTGTTATTTGTACTATCCCTTTAAGAAAAACCAAACGAGGAGTTCTCGAATATCAGCACGTTGGCAAATGTTAGTATTGTTACAGCTCAATAAACAAAAAGTTAATATAATATTTGTCCAACATTTTAGACTTCGGATTTTGGCTCTGGATCTTTTAGGAATAGTTTTAATTGGTGAAACAGTACAGCCATCGCTTGTATCCGGGCGGGCAGCATAAATGTTTAATTACTAAATGAATCTTCGTTTTTGAACAGCTATGCAAAATTATATTCAAACTCGCAGTACGTGTACAAGGCAAATTTATTTATATAGCACATTTCATACACAATGGCAATTTAAAGTGATTTACATCGAAATTTACACAGTAGAAATTATATAGTTTAGAATAAAAAAATAAAGTACAGTAACAGTCGGGCGAACAGTGGTACAGTGCTCATTGAGTAAATGCACACCTATACAGAAGTGTTTTGAGTCTGGATGTGAAAGGGACTACTGTAAGAGCACACCTGATCTCCTGTTCCAGCATAGTTTGTATTTATTTGTTAAATATTATCTAGTATCATACATCATTCCTATATTTGTAAAACAGAATACATATTTGTTACTCCGCTGCATCATCTGCATGCAAAGCAGATCAAAGCAGATAATTTTTTTTTTTTTTTGTAAAATGCTGGATTTGTTTGTTTAATTGTGACACAAAATTAACTCCATAGTATTCCACCACGTTTCTCACTCATGAAAATCAGGGATAAAATGAAAAAAATAAATAAATACAAAAGTTGCGATTTGTCACAAATGGGTTGAAATAGTGAGGAGAAAAGAACATAAACCGCACCAGTCTTCGTTTAATATACGAAGGAATTCATAAACAGAACAAGCAACTTTAAAACATTGAGTAAAACTGAAAAAGACCTGAAAGAAAACAGAGAAAAAGAATCAAAGAAACATGAAACATCAGAGGTCACTTAATCAAACCATTTTCAACCTTGGAGACTAACAGAAACACAGAGAAAACAGAGGAAACTCAGCACTAGGTTACGACTGTAGCTTTTATAAAATTGTATATTTATTATTACTATATATATATATATATATATATGTGTGTGTGTGTGTGTGTGTGTATGTATTTAATGCTATATGTTGACATTACACAATGTTTTCTGGTTCTTAAAGGTTTGAATCAACATAAATTGTGAGGAAGGAGTGATTTAAAGAAAATGAAGCTTTTAATGTTATGTCGGTAACACTTTAGAATACTGTATCTTACTTACTGCATAACTAATAAGGAATTAATGAAGAACTAATAGGTAATTCTTTATTAACACTTAAGTCACTACTGTTAACTACTAAGGAAGATGTGTTAACTAATCAGTATGTAATATAATTTTATGATTGAGGAGTGACCTGATGGAGTTTTGGTTCCTTGCCACTGTTGCCTTTTTCACTTCTCTTCGCCTTTGTCGCAAGTAATTGTTGTGTATTTTACAAAGGTTTAGATGATTACGTTAATATATATAGGCTAATATTTTTTTATTTACAGTAAGTTTGATTTGAGTCAGAAGTATGTGGTAATTCTTTATTAATTACCAATGGGTTCCCTATATTGTCACTTTAGAATACTGTTTCAGGTTCTAAGTAATTCCTGAAGGACTATCTAATAATTATTTATTAATTACTAATAAGTTCCTTATATTTTTACTTTAGAAGACTGTTTCAGGTTATAAGTAGCCTAATTCCTAGATAATTAATTTGATAATTCTTTATTAATTACTAATGGGTTCCCTGTATTGTCACTTTAGAATACTGTTCCAGCTTCTAAGTAATTCCTGCAGAATTATTTGATACTTATTTATTAATTACTAATAAGTTCCCTATATTTTCAGTTTCCCTCAGTCGTTGCCTCAAATAGATGAATTTACTCAGTGTCATTCTATGCTGAGGAAAACAGACACACACAGTACTGTATATAAAATATACAAATAATCTGAGGTTAGTTTTGTGTGACTGTTCAGTAGTTACTTCTTAGTTATTTTTCTTAAAACCTTAATTAGTAATAGTTCTTCAGGAGGTATGACAGAATTCATTAGTTATTGATTAACTAACTGATACTTAACACAATCATAAAATTATATTACATACTGATTAGTTAACACATCTTCCTTAGTAGTTAACAGTAGTGAAGAAGTAGTTAATGAAGAATTACCCATTAGTTCGTCAATAATTCCTTATTAATTCTGCAGTAAGTAAGATACAGTATTCTAAAGTGTTACCGTTATGTCTATGTGGTGTTTGTAATCTGCTTTAACACACCATGTGTAAATTATATCGACAGCATTGCTGAGTATTTTCTGATTAAAACTGCAGTGAACCAAAGACGGTCTCAAAAACACGGTGTAAAATCGCTGGTGTTTCTGACGTAACAAACCACCTTGTAACCAATCAGATCAACGTGTGATCGTCAACCAGTGGATCTCTGAGTGAGTGAGTGGAGGCGGGGCTCATTTGCATATTCATAGAACCACATATACTACACAAGGCGAGGGTGTCGAGTTACATTCAAGATATTTTAAGGCATGAGAATTTTTTTTTTGAGAAAAAAAACGTTTAAATATGTCGTTTTGGTGATCAAATATGAGTTTTAAGGACACAATTATTGACCAAAGGGGTGTTTTAACAGTCTTTACACTGAAAACACGTAATTATGAAGAAATGTAATTTAGTGTATTTAGAATCAGATCAATATGAATGTGAATTTAGAGAGTTGAAGACTGTTGATTTCAAGGAGATTTTCTGTTCTCACAAGGACCTGTAAATGAAAATAGTTTTGCTTATTACGCATTACTATAATTTTATAATCATTTCCATTTGTGCAGCTTATTCTATAGGTTATTGTACAGTCGAGAGAACAGACTCACGTTTATCATCGTTCCCCTTCTGGATCACCCGTTCAGGAGTTTGAGTCCATCGCAGTGTCACATTTGTGAGTCCTCTATCAGCAAGAGCAGATCCCAACTGAAAATAACATTCATAATAAAATGATTAGATCAGAATATAATAGTGCCAGGCGTCGGAATAAGACGAGCTCTAGGGCTGCTCTAGGGCTCAAGCGGGTCCTATACAAAGTAATAACTTAACGTGTTTCTAAAATAATACAATCATAAGTGGATACGCATAACAGTTCAACATGGAGAGTCATGGATAGTCTAAAGTTGGAAAGTTTTCTACTACCCTCGTTTTTTTCCCCTCACACACACGTAAGTGTGTAATTTATTAAAATGCCTTTCCTTTCATATATTTAAAGTGACTTGCAGATTTATAACTTTATTACCTCTGAAGACATTACGACTGTAACAAAAGATTTGTGCGGCTGATGCTCCTTTGGTTATAAACAGCTTGTGTAAGAACGTGTGTGTGTGTGTGTGTGTGTGGTCCATGGGCGTGCACACCTCTGGTTGCAGTTTCGCTTGTCGCCAGAGGGGGCGTAGTTCTGCGAAAACTCAGAGACTTGCGCTATGCACCTTTAACTGACGTGAGAACAATTTGGCCTAATATAAAATATTTCTGCTTCTCACAGTAATCATAAAGGTTGAATTGGTTTCTTTCTCTCACCTGTTTCAGAACATTTTCTCTCATTGAAGGGTCAGTTAGATCATTGATGGAGTTAAACTGCATTTTTACAAATGACCTTTTTAAAGCGGGACCTAAACAAACACAGTCATACATGTAAATACATAAAACTTTGAATTCAATTAACAATGAAATATTATAAATATTGGAACCAACACATTGGCATTTATTAAAGCATTTCCCTGTTCCTCAGTATGTCTTGTTGACAAATATGACGATGTGAAGACATTATTATTATCTGATGTTATAAAGTAATATGAATGATGTACCTTCTCCATAGACCTTCACCTCACAGAGAGTGAGTGTCTTCATGTCTCCAGGAATGATCAGATTCACATAACGTCCCTCCATCCCACCACATGAGTAGTTGTAGGACTCGCCTGCTGGAATAGCAGGAATAACAGCACATCTACAGACAGAGAGAGAAACCGATCAAGCAGATCAAGATACTGTCAATTATTCAAATCTACATTTGTGCTCAAGCTCTCATGTACTTTCAACCTAAAGAGTCTCACATGGGATTGTTGCTGCCGTTGTTCTCCAAAGAGTTCCCGATGCGAATCTCCACTCCGTTTATTTGTTCTGCACAGCAATCTCGTCTGTTTGTGACGACCACTTTACTAACTCTGTAAATGTGACGCAGATCCAGCCTCCACCACGGGTTAGTCTGACTAAGGGTTGAGGAGCATCCCGTGTACAACTGCTGGAGACCTCGATCAACGGCCTTTTCAGCAAATCCGTCCCCAGATGTTGAAGACTGTGTAGCAACTCCAGCTACTGCCAGATTTTCTAAAACACAATTATGAAAACAATTAATTTACATTGATGCACAAAGTTTGTTGTTATTATTAGCGAACAACGTGACTCTGACAACAAGACTTGGGAACAGAACAACCAACAGGCAGACAGGCTAAGCAAGATAACAAGAGACTGTGGCTGATAGAAAACACCTGGGGAGACTAATAAACAGAAAGGGGAGCTGCCAAACTCGGGATCACAGACTGGAATCATGACAGAACCCCCCACTTCAGGATCGGTTCCAGATGAATGCAACACTTCTGGGGGCCATGGCGGTGCCAGCTGGTCAGGTGCAGAGGCAGACATCTTGTCCGCAGACACAGGGGTTGAAGCTGCCATCTTATCCAAAGACACATGAGTAGAGTCAGCCATGTCAAGATGAGACTCAGGCATGGCAACTCAAGACCCAGGCATGGTGGTCATCTTGGGACGAGGCCCAGGCATTGCAGCCATCTCGAGACGAGAGCAAGGTTTGGCGGCCATCTCGAGACGAGACGAGACCCTGCGTGGCGGTGGCCATATTGGCCAGAGACAAACACTCAGGTGTTGCTGACGTGGCGTGAACAGTGCCAGGCTCGGCAGGACTGACTTGAATCTTAGGCTCGGCAGGACTGATGTGAATCTTAGGCTCGGCAGGACTGACTTGAATCTTAGGCTCGGCAGGACTGATGTGAAGAGACTCTGGAAGGGTGGTGTTGGTGGGATGAGACTCTGGACTGGTGGCCATGATGGGGCGGATCCGATGAGGCTCTCTCTCTTGACAAAATGTTGCTATCTGGGCGCTTCCACAAATAAATGTTTAGCAAAACAAAAAATCTCAAGGGAGAATAGGCCAGGGGTATTCTGATAAAATGCAGTACACTTCAAACCAAATCTAAGCCCAATTGATATGGTATAATTTATTGAACATAATGCTGTAAGACATTGAATTACCTGCCAAATAACCGTAGATTTCAACCTCACAAAGAGCAAGAATCTTCTGATCTCCAGGAATATGAACAATCACATAACGTCCGTCCATCCCATCACAGGAGTAGTTGTAGGACTCGCCAGCTGGAATAGCAGGAATAACAGCACATCTACAGACAGATGGAGATAAAGATAATATAATCTTCACATTCACATTAATCCTTCTCATTTGTGCTCAAGCTCTCATGTTCTTTCAACCTCAAGAGTCTCACATGGGATTGTTGCTGCCGTTGTTCTCCAAAGAGTTCCCGATGCGAATCTCCGCTCCGTTTATTCGTTCTGTGCAGCAATCTCGTCTGTTAGTAATGACCACTTTACTAACTCGGTACATATCAAGCAGATCCAGCCTCCACCACGGGTTAGTCTGATTAAGGGTTGAGGAGCATCCCGTGTACAACTGCTGGAGACCTCGATTACTGTCAATGGCCTTTCCAGCAAACCAGTCCCCAGATGTTGACGACTGTGTAGCGGCTCCTCTTACTGCCCGATTTCCTAGAAAATTAATAAAAACCTGTCTTGACTTATCTTTATTTTTGACTTCAACTTTCACCCACACTCTGTCTTTGAGCGAGCTAACACCGTGTCCTAACTACACGGGACGCGACGCCGCGACACGTGATAAGAGGTATCTTTTCCATGTTAATCAAAGTTTTTGTCCTAACCAGACGCGATGGCGACTCGCGAAGTTTCTAATTAACGGTTCCTATTTCTGCGACGTCGCGGCTGACAGAAGGTAGAAATTACACTGGTTATGAGTATACATAATTTATTTTTAGTTAAAAATAGGTCAGTGTGCCACAAGCTATAACGGATAATTACCTCAGATTTTGAAAGCATGTAATATAGCGTTCAAAATGAATTCTATGCAAACATACAACTGAAATTAGTCAATGAGTATATTTTGTTAATGTTTTGATTTTTAATAATGTTATTTCTTGATTTGATTATGTCCTTACCCATTTCCAATGCAAGTGCGGGCCAACAGTGCACTTTCACAGAGCAACATGACATCATGACTTTTGCGTAAACATATAAGCCACTTTCGAGTCAGGTGGCGTGTTATCTCCACGCATTTTGTGCTATCCGCGTGTGTCCGCGTGTATGCGTATGTCTACGCCATTAACGTCCGCGTCATTCCGCGTGTCTGAACACGCCGTCAAATCTCCAGTCATAAATGCCATTAACCCCAGTGACGGTTAGGTTTAGGGACGGGGTTGAGGTAAGTCATATATTTATATAACGTTAAGTCAACGGCGTTCATAAACACGCTGAAAAGCGATTATGCGTCTTGATAGCACGCCAAAAATGGAAATACGAATTGGCGTGTCATACACACGCTACTTCATGAGATCAGTCTGCACAGAGAGACTCTGCTCACATCATAGGCTCACATGCTGTTCTGTATGTGTGGCATCTCACAGTCGCGTCGCGTCTAGTCCAGTAGCACCTCAATGCAGAAAATGAGATCCACGGGGAGGAGTCGGATCACGATCCAAGGGGTGGAGATGAGTAGGATTAGGGTTGGGTTTAGGGATTAAGGGTGGGTTTAGGGATCAGGGGGCGGAGTTGGTTAGGTTTAGGTGTATGTAAGGTGGGAGATCCAGATCCAACTCCTCCCCATGGATTTCATGTTCCGCAGTGAAGACCATCTCGTCTAGTGTGGACAGACCCACTTGCTGTCGCTGGAATTTTATCGCGTCGCGTGTAGTTAGGACACGGTGTAAGGTGAAAATAAAAGTCTTTCCTTTTCTACAGAGCTTATCAAAACTGCTGCAAATATACCTAGCGGTGTGAGCCAGGGGTTCAGATTACAGTTTATTCAATCAATGCATAGTAATGCACATAGGCGTCGATTTCGATTTCGGCGTGAGTAATTTTTTTAAACATTTAAACATAGGCAAGGATGTACCTAATTCAAATAAAACATCCCCATTTAACTAGCAGAGCATTCATTTAGTTCTCTATTAAATTAGAGATCTAGCGCTAATGTGTTGTTTTTGAACTCGCTGCCGCTGCTATCATACAGTGTCCTGTGGCTCGCACAGTCTTCACTGGGACGCGCCCTTCAACCTATCGCCGTTGTGAAGACTTTCTATCCATTCCGATGAAATCACAAAATAAAATGCACTCCCTGCTTGATATTGACTGAAACCAGTGATGGGCATTTTCAGTTTTGATGAGAAAAAAAGAAAAAAATAAGCTTTACAATCCGTAACCTCTGACACGTTTGGCAAAAGATCCACCATTAAAGAACTCAAACAACATCAATGGATGTATTTACGGGTTGAGCAGAGAGTCGTCCAGTAACATCAACGGCATGTAATGACGGGAAAAGTAATTGGTTACCCTGTTACTAAAATAACATTGTTACCTAACACCATTCTTTTAAATGGCGTTATTCCAAACTCGGGTTATGTCTTAACTGACCAATCAGGTTCAGGAATTTCAGAGAGTTGTGGAATAAAAATGATTTATTACTTTCGATGTTGAAAAGTGCTATACAAACATTACCTGCCAAATCCCCATAGACTCCAACTTCAGCAAGACTAAGAATCTTGTCATTTCCAGGAATATGAACAACCATGTAACGTCCCACTATCCCGCCGCATGAGAAAGTGGCCGTAGCGCTGGCCGCAAGACTGGAAATTACAGCACATCTAGAGAGATAATCTGTTATCAGTTTCTGTTCATCTACAGCCACATTCATCAACACAGTCAAAGGAAGACTCACATGGTGTTGCTGTAAATGTCAGGGACGTTCCCGACGCGAATCACAGCTCCGTTTATCCTCAAAGCATTGTTGTATCTGTTAGTGATGGTCACTCTGTTCACGCTGTATACCTTCAGTAGATCCACTCTCCACCACGGGTTGGTCTCCCAGTAAGTGTGAGTGTAGGTGTCAATCAAACCATCCACCGCAACTCCAGAATGATAGCCGTAATCCACTGATGACTGAGTAGTTTCGCCCCAAAGTGCTGCATTCTCTGGAAAAGTTTTCAGAGGCAACATTTGTCATACAGAAAAAAAACAAAGGTATAAAAAAGGTTTTTACCTTCTTGTCCATTTGCTCTTTCCACAACCAGTACAAACCCTGTGGAATCAATATTCAAGTGAGTGTCAGAGAACCAAGATTTGTTGAATCACATTCTGAAATTTTATATCTGTTTTATTTTATTTAAATTAAATTTTTATCATTTCTGAATTTTTACTGTCTTAAGTTTGAATGATGCGTGATATGTTTTCTCTTTGTTTTTCCACATGTGTGTATGAGGAATCTACTGCAAACAAAATCTACCTTCGGATACAAATAAAGTAACTTAAACTTGAGATTTGTAGTTAATTTACTTTGATATTGTCACTAACACAAAATAAACCGAATGATAAGGGAAACATAAAACATTGATCATATAATGATCATGTTGAAGGAAACTACTGACACAACAATAACAGTCAGCAACGAACACTCTATTTGAATTTAAAGTCACATTTCTGTGGCATTACTACTTGACAAACACAATCATGTAAGCTGTCAAACTATACATACACAAATGAGCATCTATTCAACACAACATTCAATAAACTGAGAAATACCATCCTAGAGAACAAGTGACAAACAACGCTTCAAAAGTTAGGAATTTGATTTGAATTTTAAAAGAAGAACTTCATACTTTGTTTAGCGAGATTTCGTTAAATTGATCGAAAGTGGCAGTCGGAAAGTGATCGTTAAATTGATCGAAAATGGCATTTGTAATGTTACACCAGATTCTGTAACATTACAAGGAATACAAAGATTCACCTGAATGCATAATTACAAGCACTTGAGTTCCCCCGGTACACTAGGAAATTATAACTAGACTAATATGAATCGGGAAACATACATATACGGAACGTATCATTTACATTTACAGGGGTCCTGTTTTTGCTCTGAGGACCCCTAAATGTCAAAAAGGTTAATCTACTTAAACCCATTTAAAACATGACAAATATTATCAGCAGACTTCTGAACAGTATTATGTAAGCGCTAAGAAACAATGAATTGCGTAATGCAAACCATGATAAAAATGTTGGGGGTTTGAATCTGTTAATGTATGAAACAACTGATCTAGAATATTTGTTTGATGCCAATGCCAATACTTTACAATATGCTTTGAATCCAAAGTAAAGACTAAACTACAAATCCACATCCTAGTAAAATAGCAGATCATGAATGTTGTACTTTACCCAGTAAGATCCACAGGCACTTGAAGAGCTTCTTCATGGTTGATCAAAGGCGTTGGTCTTTCTTTTAGGGATAGAGAGTCTTAGTTTTATGTTTTATGGAGGACAACCCATTTAAATTTGCATCTCAAGATCATCTTGCCTCTCCTCCCTTCCATCTCCACTATTTTGAAAACAGAGAATATAGTTACACATTTTAGTTAATCCCAAAAAAAAAACTTTTCAAAAAAAAACTTAGAAAGGCAAAAAAGTCAAGACTGGTGATCATCGTCATTCGTCATCGTTGTGTTCAGCACAGATCTTCAGGGTGTTTTCAGGGTGCTGTGTACAAATGCCTTTAAGTTTACACAGACTTCCCAAATCAGCTGCAAAAACACAGACAAACAAATAAGCTTCAAATAAGCCATCTGGACTTTATCCTAGCATGCCAGCCCGTGAAAGATGATCATGTAACTTATATTGCTGCACTAAAACAAATGATGAGCTGAATGTGCACAAAAAAACCAAACAGTGTTATTTATGTTACAGGGTTTAAAATATGTTTTCTTCACAGAGATGCCATAGATCCATTTTGGTTTACCAAATAACCTTTCAGTGATCAGTTCTTAAAAGAGCATTTTTTTCTTAGAATGAAGAACATTTACTATCTCTTCTTACAGAGAGACCTGGTATAAACTTAATATAACTTAATATAAACTTAATATAAACTTAATATAATAAAAAACTTAATATAAACTTAAGTCCTGTTAAAACTGGCAAAATACAGTGTTTACACAAAAGCTACCAAAAACTGGAAAAATCTACCGCCAAAAAAAAAAATCCCAACAGGCATTTGGGTAGAAAACGTCTTGGGTTCTGACTGTAACACATTGGGGAACGCCTTCAGTGTGCTGCGTCTAAAGCCTGTGTGGAACCAGTCCAATCTTGATTGGTGTTGTATCATGACGTCCCACGTGACGTCGCATGTGATGGTGATGCAGAAGCTATAAAAGGACACCGGAACATCACAGTGCAGCTTCTGATTGGTCGAAGCAAGTTGTTGCTTCTTGCTTCTAATTGGCCGAAGCAAGTAAATATTCTAATCTAGAATATTTAGATTTTTTTTTGGCAAGAAATTATAATTCTTAACAATATGCTATAAATCCACGGTAGAGAGATGCATACACTCCTCAGTCCTCAAATCCCCAATCCCAAATCCCCAATTTCCCAATCCTAAATCCCCAATCCCAAATCCCCAAGGGCCAGTTGTTCAAAGGTAAGCTGATCAGATTTTGGTTATCGGATTGGATCAAATCTTGAAAATGGGTTGTTCAAAAGGGAAAGAAGGAATCTGAAATCAGATTAGATCAGGGAATCCAATCCTAGTTTTATCTGGACCAAACTTCAGTTTGTGTTGTTCAAAACTTGTCAGTGGGATTTGGATAACTTTGATCCAAAAAAACAGTATTATCCTGATCCCAACAGGGGGGAGGATTTCAAGGTGGATTTCAGGAAGAAAATGTTGTAAAACTCTAAAATTGGTCAAATAATACATTTGTATCATTTAGTGTATATACTTTTATTTATATTTTGCACTTTACTTGTGTAACCGTTGCAACAGTGATAAAGTAGACATAGGCTAACAATTAAGCTATTCAGTATAGTAAAGTAAAAATAAAATAAAAATTATTTTGTACCTATTGTCTCAAAAAAAAAGAAACACTTACAGTGACCCCATGTTGGCTCTTCTACCTGTTCTTTACATAGCTGGTAGCCCACATTGTGACATGTTGTCCCATTTAGAGCAGTGGTAATCCGAATTTGGTAATCTTGAAACCAGTGTATCTGGATCAGGGTGATCCAGTCCAAAGTTGCTTTAAAAAATTTGGGATTTCCGGGATTTCCAAATCCGGATCATTTTGATCCAGATTAAATGTTTTGAACAACTGGCCCCAATTTCCCAATCCTAAATCCCCAATCCCAAATCCCCGAATTCCCAATCCTAAATCCCCAATGCCCAAATTCCCAATCCCAAATCACCAAATTCGCAATCCTAAATCCCCAAATCCCCAATCCTAAAAAAATCACAATCCTAAATCCCCAATTTCCCAATCCTCAATCCCCGATCCCAAATTCCCAATCCCAAATTCCCAAACCCAAATCCCCAATCCTAAATTCTCAAGGGCCAGTTGTTCAAAACATTTAATCTGGATCAAAATTATCTTGATTTGGAAATCCCATGATTTCCAGAATCACTAAAGGAGAAAAACGGAAATTTTAAGTCACCATTATGGAGATCAGTGTTTGGTTTAGCTGGGCTCTTGACCCTTAAATCATTAACTTTAACATCAAGAATTAACACACTTATCTCAGCAATGGTGACAAACAGATCACCTCTGAACATAAGTTCATTATTTATTCATGCAGCAATGCATGATGGGAGCCATGAATGAGTTTTGATTGGTGGCACCAAGAATGCAATGCAACATGCTTTATAACTGTTACCATTGTTGAGATTAACAGGCTAATTATTGATGTCTGTGTGTCTTAACATTGTAGAGAAGTAAAAAATTATAAGAAAAGCTTTTAAGAAATTATTTTGAATATACTGTAGACGTTGACAATATTATGCTGCACAAGGTCACTGGTGCTTAATAAAGTAAACCTTACTCAGAAATTAGAATCTAAATGAATTCAGTGTTTCTGGTCAAATTATTGTGAATTAATGATTATGTTAAAACACAACCATCACCATCAGATCACCTTTTCTAATTGTTCATCTGGCTGTTATAACTCATGTACAACAGCCAAACTAAATCTAAAGTTAAAGAAATAAAGGGTCAAGAGCCCAGCTAAAGCAAACACTGATCACCATAATGGTGACTTAAAATTCTGTTTTTCTCCTTCAGTGATTCTGCTTGTTAACATCAGGTGTCTTCAATGATGCTCAATCATCATTCAATTATTCACTTAATTATTCACTCAGTGTTAATTTAACACTGGGGATTTTACTGTGTAGTTTACCTTTGAACAACTGGCCCCAAATCCCCAATTCATCAATCCTAAATCCCAAATGGCTAACTACAAAATGCCCTATCGTAAATACCAAATACATTTTCGATTTAGACTTTTAGTTTTCATTTTAGACTTTAAGTTTTCAATCTGACCCAATAATCCTCCATAATACTGTTTTTAGGGAGGACGACGATGTTTAAATGCGCATCACATGACCAACCGTGTCTCTCCTCCCTTCTGTCACACTCTTCAAGCAAACACTATTTATGTTCACCTTGTTGGTAACACTTTACAATCAGGTTCATTAGTTAACATTATTTAACTACCTTAGTTAACATGAACTAAGAATGAACAATACTTCTTCAGCATTTATTAATAGAGTAAAAAAAGACACCCCTTTGAAAATTGTGCATTATTAATAAATGTGTGGGCCTTTAACATTTGTTAATGGTTGGTTCAATTCAGATTTGAGATGTGGTGCGTGGCATCCTGGAGATATTGTCCGACAGATCCAGATCCGCACCGATTCTGCAGGGATGCAGCCAGGCCATCAGCACGTCACTCCCAGAAAAGATTACAATTTACAAAGAGTTGTTCGTTCCACCATGACAACAACCATTCACTTAGAGAAAATAATCTACCGAAGCTTTGATGTCCTCGTCAGTATGTGGGAAGTGGTCCTGTTTTTGTGTTCTCCAGCTTTTTAACCTCTTAGGATTATGTTCAAGTTTTTTATGATTTCTGTATGTTTTATTCATCAGTGTCTAGGTCTACTATGATGAGGTTTAAAAGTGTTAGCAAGTGATCTAATGGATAAACAAACAAATGCATGCATTAATGAATAAATGCAATCACACACATTAGTGGCAGAAAATATCCTAGTTGTCCAATGCATACACAGAAAAGCCCGAGGCGTTAGTGGGAATCCACCCATGCTCCGATGCAAACTTTCCATTGTCAACTCTCAAACATTTACATAAAGGTTAATGTATACATAGGCTGAGGTGGATTTTTGGGAGTTTTGATAAAGTCGGCATTAAAAAATGGTATTTCTTACAGGTATTTTTATTTTGCAGATTTAAAAAAAGTAAATATCCTGAAAACAAGATACATTTACATATAAATGATGTAAGATATTAAGCCTTTTTTTTAGGCTTCGTCAGGGTATGTGTCGTGTGCGCGACACTGTTTTCAGGAAAAAACAGAAAACTTTTTATGCATTTTGGCCGTTCATCGACACCACAACAGCGTTTTTGGGGGCCTGAAAACAGGTTTTGAAAACGATGGATTTCCGATGGCTTTATTGAAAAAAAAATGGTCGTCATACGCGTTTATATGACATGTTTCTTGAGGTGTTTCTTGAAAAAGTGGCCTGAAAGCATAATACATTCATTTTTGTGAACAGGAATCGTTTTGGCAACATTGTCGTCTGTTTTTAAGACATTGTTGTCGTGTAAACGCACACCCTCAGTTTCCCCTGTCTGTTACCATGGTTACAGAATGATTTGAGTATTCAATGTAGGTCCTCCTCATTTAGTTCCCCTTGTTTGCACAAGTCCTGCTTCACCCTTTGTTCTGGGATTAGTTTGTTTTTGCTGTTTAGTCTAGTGTAGCCCTCAAACCGTATTCACTTTAAAGTCCTTAATCCTGTAGTTGTGGACAAATGTGTGATCCTAATTGTTAATTATTACAAATGTTATATCACTGTCTTCGATAAAGTTTTGTCTATCCATTTATGTTGTTTTTTTTATTTATTTTGGGGGTATTTTTGAATTTATTTACTTCAAAAAGTATCATATTTTCTATGTAAATTAATTACTATGTAGTTTTATTTAGTAAAATTTGTTTAACTACATTAAAATATCATTCCAATAAGTTCTTAGAGCTAAAACCTAAAGATGAAGTGACTTTGCTGTCACCAACTGTCTAAATTACAGTTTCTCCCATTCATTTCTATAGGTGGCCATTTTTGACCGAAATACAAGATTTTTTTTTTTCACCCACTTAACATTGTAGAATTGAGTCAAAAACAATTGTGTGTGTTCAGGAGGCAAACTTAGGAAAAGTAGCCAAGTCTTGTACCGCTCAGATCAAGGGAAGTATTTTTTTTTTAAATAAATCAAAACTATTTTGCCCACATTTGTCCAGAATACGGTTTTAGGGTTAAGAAGTTGAGTAGTATTGTGATTTCCTAGTCTTC